ATTATACATAATATCGCGTAATGATAAAAGAAAGAGCGTTTTTTAAGTGTAATAATGAGGGGAGGAAAAAGAAAAAAAAAGCAAAACAAACAATAACGACAACCTTTCAACTTCCATTCGTCCGAAACGGCGAAATTTTTGTATTTCAGCAAAAGCGAAACGAAATCCTTGCGTCCAATTTAATTACGTAATTGTTATGTTACGGGGAAGGGAGAAGGGGNAGTGAAAATTACGTATTGTTCAAAAAAAAGGGGGAAAGACGAAAGTTTCGTCGTGCGAGTAATTTAAACGTTGAGACTCCTTGCGTCCTCGATGAGCGACGCTGAGAGAATGCTGAGAAAAAAAATATATATATAAGAAAAGAAGTGACGAGAAAAAAAAAAAAAAATTCAATCAACTCTATGACATGTGCAAAAGCAATCGAAAAATTATCGAGTTACACTTTTTCTTTTTTTCTTTACTTTCCATGCATTGTGACTACCTTTATGTTTTAGTTTTATACTATTATTGTAATAGTTCTATTAATATTATTATATTATGTTATTATTATTATTATTATTATTATTTTTATTATTATTATTATTATGATTATTATTATTATTACACTATTACTATTGTCATCGTCAAATAACGTTTATTATTTTATTTTTAATTTTAACTGTAACCTCGGGTAATTAGTTAGCGCGGTAAGGTGCGTTAGGCTTTAAAAAAGAAATCACATTAGTAACACAATTAGATGATGGAACACGAGCAACCATGTTATATCGTATTTTTCATAATGCAGATATTTTATTCGAGCGTTGAATGCTGTGTAGCTTGCGACATTAACGCGACGCCTTCTAATACGTTTCCATTTATATTTGTTGGAAGTAGAATTCAACATATAGATGATATATATATATATATATATATGTATATACACATGCATATATACATATATATATATATATATTTCACGATGTTCTGGCTAATAGATTTATTTATATATTTAGCACAAGTTGAATTTGTAATAAATTTTATTCGTAGGTTTAACGACGCGATTATGAGTATTTTCCTCGCGTCAAATCGAAAATGGTTGACATTGAAACGATTTGTTTGTTTTTCTCTTCGTCTATCGCCAGGACGTCGTTGTTCCGTTGGAAATTTTTTTTTGCCCACCGCGAACGAATATTCGCGGTCTTTAAAGTGCGCGCGTGTTCAAAGTATCTTATATCCATTTATGGAAGAAGAAAGCTCGAAAAAGGCATCTTGAATAAAGAAAAATAGAGGGAAGAGGAGGGAGTCACGTGCCACACGTGCTCCACCTGTATTTTTTTGTTATTTTTTACTTACACATTTTATCGACACTTTAACGAGTGAACACACTTTAACAAAAATTCGCATGTCACCCAATATGTAACGTTATAACGATAATATACACACGCATTATACGATTATACATAATGGGTATATATCAAGATATATATACCGACACATATTTGCACATTTGAGAAATTGCACAGCACTATGCATATATGTCTCGATAGAAGAAAGAAACGGTATATACACACACACACACACATATACACGATTATATCGATGACGTTAAACGTAACGAGGAAAAAAAAAAAAAAAAAAGAAAAACAAAAAAACATGCAAGAGGTTAAAACTAAACCGATTCAATTAATTAATCGTTAAGTTTTTTTTTTTTTTCTTTTGCAATAGAAGAGAAAGAAGTTGCGAGGACTTTATTATAAGAGATATATAATTGCGTGTATGCGCGCGCGCGCGCGCGCGAGCGAATACAGAAAAAAAATTTATTATATATTATATATAAATACTATATTATATTATATGTTATATTATTGTACGTTCACTCTGTTCGAGGGTGGAGACGCGTTTAAACAAGGAAGCAAAAAGAAAAAGGAAAAAAAAAGTTATATACATATAACAGTAAATATAATAAAGGAAACAATGAAGAATGAACACGTTCGCACATTTATCGTCGGTCGGTTGGCTGTACATTTGTTCTGATGTACGTACGTATGTACCTATATTATTTGTCGATGCCTGGATGGCGATAAGAAGGATAATAACGATTTAACGACTATTATTATTTTTATTTGTTTTTATCTAATTGTAGTTTCTTTGTAACTCTTTTGTGATATAGAAACCGCAATAGTCTATCCGACCGTTTATTTCTTGTATCGATTAGCGCAACCTTCATTAAAGCAAGACAGAGAAACATTAACATCTCTCTAACTCTAAGCCTCCGGCTTCTCCTTTCCAACTATATTCGTCCCCTCTTCGCCCCACCCCACTCCTCCCTTTTTTCCTCGCGCGTGGAAACAAATGTTCGCCTACCAATTACAATTGGATTACGATTTCTCGCGAGTTAAACTCGCGCTTAATTAAGCCTCTTAATTGAAATTAATTTTCCAAGGAATTTTTCTCTCCATTCCTCTAAATTAAGGAGACTTCAACAATGATTTCTTGTTAAATATATTACTTCGAATATAATTTATATAATGTAAAACACAAACAATCATTCGACTCTCTAAAAAAACTCATCAGATTTTTTTATCGAACTCCTCGCCACCGATCCAAACATCCCCTTCCTTCCCTCTCTCCCTCCCTCTCTAAGCTAATCTCTCGCTAAAACTCGACTAACACTCCTGTTTGCCTATTCTCTATTTCCATGTCCGGCCAGACCAGCTGCCCTGTCTACCGAGCGACATCACGTTCGAGATCTGCACGTCGTCGTCCTCGTCGTCGCCGCCACCTC